ATTCACCCGCACGCAGCGACTAATTAGTTGCAAAACATTTTTTCCAAGGACTACTTCGAAAAAGAAATAGTCTTTTCTTATTTAAAAACTTAAACACTGAAAAAAATAAATTTTTTTGTGGGCGTAGAATAGGAAAGCGGAAACTTGGTGCCAGGTGCGGCTTTAATTGCGGCTCATTTTAAAAGGGGGCTCGGGGGCCCGAGCGGGGTCGCGCGCCACTTTCACGCGTTTGTCACGGACTGACAGATAGCCCTGGGGATTATGGAAGGGAGGAGGGAGGGAGGGAGGGAGAGAGAGAGAGAGAGAGAGAGAGAGAGATAGAGAGAGTGGGAGAGGGGGAGAGAGAGACAGTAAGAGAGAGAGAGAGAGTGGGGGAGAGAGAACACAGAAAGTAAGACGAATCTGTACGCATTTGCTCTTTCTATTTAGGTTTGCCAGCAACTTCTCCGCCTCTTTAGGATATGTTAAAATCGAAGAGTGAAAGAGAGAGAGGGAGGGAGAGAGAGAGAGAGAGAGAGAGAGAGAGAGAGAGTAAGCGAGGTAAAGAAGCGTTCACAAACCTTTACGACAGAAACCGAATGTCATGTTCGATGATCTACAGGTTATCCGATCCACCGATTTCCCCTTCTACCGACAAACCTAAAATTACCGAACGGCCTCGATGTCCGAGTCTCCTAAAAAGTCAGCCCTTTCACTGGTCGGAGCAACTCGTATACGTCGATAGGCCCTGAATATATAAATTCAGATATAACATTGTTTTGCCCTAACGAAGAAGCCGAAATTGACCTTCTTAATTTCTAAATAGGCAGCTAAAAGAATGAAACACCCATTTTCCAAGCTAGAGTTTGTGGAAAAAAATGTTTCGTCTCATGTTGCATTCCAATAAAAATTTTGAGCAGTAATCGTTTCTTCGCCATATCCGCAATTTGATCAAATCCGAAATTTGGGGACAGATCAGCAGCGTTTCCTTAGGAATGAGAAATATGGAAAAAAGGGTGTAAGTTTACGCTCTTCTTTCTCGTAAAAGTAAGAACTAGAGAGAGAGAGAGAAAGAGAGAGAGAGAGAGAGCGCAAGAGAGAGAGAAATATTTTTCTAGCTGTAGAGACATATAAACGACATTAGAAACAAATTCCCCAGAAGGTTAAGAATTTGGCATTTTTTGAGGCCGGATCACCCTTTAGGGCCTAGGATTTGGCTTAGAAAATACAGGCAGGACGAAAAGAAGAGGGGGATAATCTTGAAGATTCTACCCCCCCCCCCCCAGGTGGGGCACTTGGTATGCGAATATGGCCTTGGCTCAATCCTCTTCCTCTTCTTCTTCCCCTTCTTTCACCACCACCAAACCCTCGATTTTATTGACAGATTTCCGGCCTCAATTATGCCAGTTGGCCCCGTGGCGAGGCCACGCCCCTTTTTGGGTGATGCTGGAAGAGTGGTTGCTGTCATTAAATTATATGTACGTAAACAAGTAGCAAAAAATTTCGGCGATCATGTTGTTGGATGTAAAAAAAACAGAAAAATGTTTCAACGAATTGCACTTCCCGTTCGACGAGAAATTAATAATTCCGCAGGCTTTCGGTAATATACATGTAAAAAGCGAGGAGAGGTGAGAGCGAGAGAGAGAGAGAGCAATCGGTGACCGAAAAGATGTTCTGGATTGTTAGCGGGGGCGGGGCTAATTTTTCCCATCAATGACGTACGCAGCCAACAATCTTACATCCTTATTAAATTTCGCGCTATTATTCAAGATAAAAAGCTGATGAAAGCCCACTAAAAACACTATAAAAGCATTATTTTCCAACAAACGGCTCCGCCTCCTGATATCCCCCCTCGCTAGCAGTCCAGTACCACCGAAGAATACAATAAAAAAAAGACGTTTCGCAGATTCCTTGGTCAATCAGCTGTTTTAGCACCCTAATCACCCCTTATTTGTGTCTTGTAATTAACTCAACGCCATTCGCATATACTCAATTCAGCTAATACAAAGCGTGCGCTGGTAATTATTTTACTTGGAAAAAAGATGTTTCCGAAAAAAATGATACAAGCAGCGATTTAAAGGGGTAATTAGACATCGGGCATTGTTAGAACAAGTTTCGTAACCTGACCCCCAAGTCTCTTTCCGATTGCCGAAAAGTATATGCCGATTCGAATTAGCATCCCCGGGCACCGGCAAAACTGCCGCTTTTTATGACTCACAAAACCGTGGGAATTTTTGTTTTGAAATGGGGCAGATGGCTGGAGAAGATTTGACGAAACAGTACGCGCAATCGTCTTTTAGAAAGAAATCGAAATAAATCTGAATTAAAAGGTAGGCAAATTAAGGGTAAACTGCTTCACAGAGAGAAGTCAAAATAAAATGACAAAAATAATCCGCTAAACGGGTAAACAAAAAATGTTTCATATAAATTCAGTAAACGACAAGTTTTTCTGCTAACCATTCAGAGTAGAGTAGCTACTAAAAGGCTTTATTCGTCCCCGAAAATCTTCGTTGCTTTTTTAAAATCATAATCAGACATCGAAAACCCGCAAATTAATTTTCTCATATAGTACGCGATACTCCTATGAACACTAGAGTCCGTAAATCGAAAAGAATACGTTGTTTCATGAAACCAAGACTATCGTAAAATTACTGCAAAATAATGTCGCATACACCGCTTCAAACAAACATCAATAAGACAAACTCAACAATAAGCTTCTATTTTCCGTTACTACCATAAAAAAGTTATCTATTTTGCTATATTTTTTACGTCTAAAGTACCAACGCTGCAGCCGAAACAAAGAGAGAACAAAACTAGAAATGAACCCGTTAAACAAAACCGAGCTGCAATTTTGGGAATATCAAAATCATGCAAAATCTGATTATCGAGCAAGTTCCACTAAAGCGTTCGAAAAATTTTTGCATTCCCGAGTTTTTTGCTACATTTTTTTCTTAATTCCTTGATAAACTATCTTCCTAACGAATTATATTAGTGTTTATATTATAAACCAATCGCGCTCTAAGCCATTTTAAAGGGACGAGCAAGTTATGGATTTTTAGTTATGGACGGGGGCCGAAGTCAAGATCAATAACTTAAACTGCAAAAAAAGCCGGTGAGAGATAGAGATAGAGAGATAAAGAGAGAGAGAGAGAGACAGAGCGAGATAAAGAGAGAGAGTGAGAGAGAGAGCAAGAGAGAGAGATAGAGAAAGAGAGAGAGAGAGGAAGAGAGAAATAAAATACTTCTTTCCACTTAAATTTTTCCTTATTTTTACAGTAAAATGTTCCACTTTCTACAGTACCCCACCTCCCTATCGAGCCGCTAACTACGGGCTCACAAAGGGAAAGGAGCGCATTAGAAACAAATTGGCACTTCGGGATTTGAGAGAGAGAGAGAGTGAGAGAGATAGAGAGAGCACCGACCCGTAATTAGTAGGGGAACGGAATCGAGCCGCAAAGGTGTTTGTTTGGAATTGGGCGGCTCGAATCAAAGCCTCCCCTCCCATCCAGTAAAGGCCCGGAAAATGGGCCCTATTCAAATGTCAAACGGCGCTTCAGCCCCCCTCCCTCGATAGGTGCACACACGGCCAACTGGACGTGCCGAACATCTGGTGAAATATAGACACAAAAACGGGAACCTAGGCCAATGGGAGGTCCGTTGAAAAATGACGTTATTGATGGTGCACTTGTTGATATTTTACAAATTTGTGTTTCAAGCTTTGCCGGGGTGACTGGATTTTAGTTTTTGACAATAATTGCTCTAGTGCCGCCTTGCAAAAATTGGTAAATCAGCGTCACCACGAAATCTTAGGTTTCAAAAAATTCAATTTAACAGTTATTTATCGGAATTCAGCAGCAGCATCTTTCGCATTATCGGTGGGGGGAGGGGGCAAAATTTTTTTGTATAACAACTTGCAATCGTAAATATTTATTAGTGTTCCTGGTCAAATATTACTTTACGTTAACTAGCATAACCATCTAAAAAAAGTTTACAAGTTTAAAGAGTTTTTTGAAAAGTCGAAATTTCGGGCAAAAATCGGCTATTTTGGTCGAAAAGCGACATTTTCTTAATGAAGATTTGTAATATTTACGGCTAGAAATAATAAAAACGTGTCTAGAAACACTTCAGCTATTTATTTTTTTTAATTCGTCCCCCAATAATGCAAAAAACCCCCAGAATTTTGATTTCTTTCGAGTGTTTGTTTCAAAAAAAACCTTACTTGTTCCCCCGCTAATACCTAATCAAGGGTTTTAATCGAATTGTTACGCGAAATAGGGCGCTAAAATGACCTTAGAGGTACCAGTAACCACTGAAAATGCGTTAATCCGCAGTGACTGTATGTGTGGTGAGCGGCTGTTGACCTGAGCCAATCCGCCTTCCCCTTTGCATAGAGGTTAGTGGGGCCCGGTTCGCGCCTCCAATTAGCGGAAAGTTTCCTTTGGTGGCGCAACGGGGCAGTCAGTGTCTCCAGAAAGCGAGAGAGAGAGAGAGAGAGAGAGAGAGAGAGGGCAGAGAAAACAAGAAAGGACAGTATCCCGCTGCGAGGCGGCCAGTCAGGGGATTCGCGCAATCCCGCAACCGCATCTTTTGTTCTCCAGGTGAGGTCGAGCTGTTCGACTTTTTGAGCGTGCACTAATATCTAAATTTGCTACGGGGAACATGTAGCTACAGATACGCAAGATTAAAAAACGCTGAATGAGATAATATTCCCAAATTCCCTGGGCTAGTCTGCCCATTTTTAGAGCCAACGCGAGTAAATGCACCACTGTAAAAAAGCTGTTTCATAAACGCCCCGGCAGAAATTCGCATTAATAACGCGGCTAAAGCCGGTAAAAGTGAAAAAATTCCGAGAACCTCCTCTTTAGTTGTAAATCAAACACCCAAAAAAAGTGAAAAGCATTTATCGCTCAACTGGCGGACAAGCATCGGGTGAATAACACGTTTAATAAAGTAAAATGTATATCGTATGAATGTCGTGAAAGGGAAAAGTGAGTTCAGATCAATTGTGGTCCCGCGTCTCAATTGTTGCGGACCGTCGGCGCGGACTCCTTGCCGGCCACCCGTTGTACAACTTTCTGAAAAACAAGGGTAAAATTGTTATACCGCCTATAATAAACTACGTAGCGTAGGGTTGGTAAAACTAAAACCAAAATCCACGATGTACCTGCTTGATGCTGGCCTTCTCGTAGACGCCGCTCGGCCGACGACAATGTCCGCGTCTTGTCGTCGACCTTGCAGATACCGACTAGCCGGTCGCTCAGCTCGAACATAGTTGTTGCGCAGCGAGATGATGATGAACTTCTGCGCGTTCTTCGTGCGTCCTACAGCAAGAGTTTTTGCCGCAAAAAACCAGAGCTAAAACCTTGACATAGTGCTCAATGATGGAGACGTTGCGGAAATCGAGCGCAGCGTCAATCTCGTCCATGAAGTAGAGGGGGGTAGGCCTGGAAAAATGGGGTATACCTAAAGTTACATACAGCAGGTTTACCTGAATTTGTGGAGAGCCAAAAACGAGGGCGAGCGATGAGAAGGTGTGCTCGCCACCCGACAGTTCTGGATCTTCTTCCACGTCTTTTTAGGTGGGCGCACGCTGAAATAAAAATGTATAAAATGCATTATTGCGTAAAAATATAGCGAATTACTTTCTAAATCCACTTCAATTAAAATAAGCTTAGGTACTGGATGCCGTGCTCAAACGGCCGGATGGTGTCTTGATCTGGAGCTGCGCGTTGCCACCGATCGTCAACATCTGGTACATCTGCTCGACGTACTCCTTGATGATGCGTTGGTGCTCTGCAAGGTAAAATTCAACGGTTTTTCGAGGCTTCTTACCCTTGTGAACTCCGGTCAGCCGGCACGTGTTCAGCTCCTGGTATTTCGACTTGAACTTGACGACCACCGAGCGAATCTGCTCCACCATGTGCACCTCGGCCGTGTATCGTTGCAACTGAAAAAAGACGACTTCTGGCTACGAAATTGGTTTTGTACCTTTCGTTTGTAGTCCTCGACGATGCCAAGATTCAGCTGGACCTTCCCCCTGCATGTTCTGCTGCTCGTAGGCCTTGATCTTGAAGTCGATGTCCGCCTCCTTGAATGCGGTGGCCACCTTACAAAATCATATTTGATCCGCGCGTAAAAATTACCTCTCTCGTCACTGTATTCCGGCATGTGGCCGGTCATAAGAGGATGTTGGCACTCCTGCTCACGCTGCGCCCGGCGCGCCTTCTCATCCGCGCTGATCTCTTCCTCGAGCCGGCGTCGCTTGTCCTCGCATTCATTCTGGAGCCGAAGCTGACGGTCGTCCACTTGGCGCTCAATGTCCGCACAACGTTGCCGATAGGCGGCTTCATCCTATAAAATAAATATTTATGTATTGTTTCTTTCCCTATTCTTTTTCCCCCCCCTTTCCTTTATTCTCCTTTAACCGACCCAAGAGTTGCGACAACCAGTTTTTTTCATCTCCAAATGTTCCTCATTCTGGAATTTTCATCTGCGCGAATTCCCACTTCCGAAAAAAATTTATTATATAGCTTCGATGGCTAACTTTTCGGTGAATTGAAACTGGAGGTGTGACAATTTCTGTGTGATTGGATTTGGTCAACTCCGGAATATTCCGTAAAATCCACCTCCCTCTTCCATTGGGATGTCAAGATCGAGGTTCTGTCGGAGGGCTCGATCATCGTCGTCAATATCGATGAGCTGAACAGCAGGAAATAACAGCGGAATTGTCGCTTACGAATTTCCGTTTCTTCACCAAGTCATCACCATCAATGTCCATCTTTGACTGGTCGATGCCGAGGCCGGTGATGTCGTGGGTGGGCAGTTTGGCGCGCTAAAAAATATCGTAATTCAACGCCCAGAAAGCTCACGTTCTCCTCCGTCTGCTTGATCTGCTTCTGCGCCTGCGCAATTTCGGCCTTGATGACCTGCACCTCGCCGCTGAGGTCCTTGATTCGGGTGCCGAGTTCGACCTCCCGCCGATTCTGCTCGTCGTTTTTGGCGTTCAACTCCTTCAGTTCCTCGGCGATCTCTTTCATGCGGTCCTAAAAGAAGTTGTTAGTCGCAAAGCACTATAAATCAGGCCAATTGCTGCAAAACCAACCTCAAACTCTTTTTTCTGCTGATTCAGCTCCTCCTCGTCGTCGCCGCCTTGGTCCTTCTCCTTCTCCAGCACCTCAATCTCGCCCTCACGCTGCGCAATGTCGGCCTCGGTCTCTTTTTGACGTGTCAGATTCTAAAGGATGCTTAAACGCATAGAAATACTTTTGCACCTTTTTGATGTTGGTGTCGACACGGTTGAGAGCGGCGTTCTCCTTGGCAATGGTCGCCTCGGCGTCAGTTCGTTTCTTTTGCGCCTCGTTGCGATCATCTTCCCAACGCTGAAGAAAAAACTATGCATAATTAATAAAAAAACATACCGTAAGCAGATCGGCCCTGACGGCATTGATGCGCGCATCAACTGCCTTGACCTTAGCTCGGCATTTGTCAGCAATTTCAACAGCGTCGGCGTGCTCTGAAACAAAATATTAGGCAATCCAAATCCAATTACCTTTCTTCGCCTTGGCCATCTTTCGCTCGAGCTCCTCAACCTTGGTCGCGTCGACGTCATTCTCAATCTGCTTCATCCGGGCCTCGGCGTCTTTCAAGCTCTTGGTGTAGTTGTTCAGCAGCGGCTCAGCATTCCTAAACAGGGAAGTCAAGAAGAAACCAAACACGTTACCGAAATGTCAATCTCCAGCGTGCTCCTCGCCTTCGACTTGAGGTCTTTGTAGCGGGGCCGAAAGGCCGGGGATATCCGTGTCAATTCTTGGAGCTCGCCGCGCAACTAAAAACAAGTTTTTGGGAACGAGAAAGGCTCGCACCTCGTCGAGCGGCTTCCTGCTTGTCGTCGAGGTTCTTCTGAGGGTGCGCAGGGTTTTCTCGCTTTCCCCGGTCGAATCAACCTTCGCGTCCTTGCCGAGAGCTCCTTGTTTCGGCTTGCCACCACCGGATAGCAACCACCAGAGGTCTCGAAGAGAGCACCGTCTTTCGTGACGACACGGTAACGCTGGCCATTGAAGCGGCTGGTCCTGAAAAGCATAAGTAAAATATTGGGGGGAGAGAGAGAGAGAGAGAGAGAGAGAGAGAGAGAGAGATAGATAGGAAAAGATAGCTCAGAGATCCTGAAAGAAAATTTAAATACACTGGCGGCCTGATTCGGATCGGGTGGCGACGAGCGTCTCCTGGACGGCGCTGGTAGAAGGCTACCCTCATCCGCTGGTCAAATGTTGATCTTGATCAAATCGAAGAGCCGCGGCATGTTCTCGGGATACTGACGCTGCTGCTCAGCATCCGTTGCGTCAAATGCTGGATCTTGTCCAAGCAGATACAATGGACGACGCCCAGCTTCTCCTGAAGAAAAGAATTTTATATAGCATTAACTGAAGGTACTTCACGGCAGATTTGAAAGACTTTAAGTTCGACGTCGGGCAACATCTTCAACGACGACGTTATCCCAGGCACCGGAAGCGGTGGAAACGGCAATGTCGTACCCTGGTCGATGCCGCCGAGATCACCCTAAAAAATAGCAAAACCGTTACAAAGTAAATTTTCGATAGAAAAACAGTTTTTTTTTTCGGCGAAAATTGCGAATCTTTCCCAGCGTATATTTTCTAACTTTCCTCAAAGTCTAACTGCTAATATCTTACCAATCGAGCGATGACGCCAGGCAACGTGCCGTTCGCCTTCAACGCCATCAGACGCTAGAAAACAAATAAATTAGCAGAAATCATGCCATTCTTACCTGCATCATCTTACTGCCCGTTGCGCCCCGCTGGAATCGCTGCTGTTCCTCGTAGCGCTGATTGCGCAGCTTGTTGAACTCGCGGTTGACGACGTCCTCCTCCGCCTTCAGCTCCTGATGGCGCTTCCGCTTCTCGGTGAGCTTGGCCTCGGCGTTAGGGAGCTGTTGCTGCACTTCTTCCAGTTCCCTGAAAAAAACATGATGCGAAAAAGGAGAAAGAACATACTCCGTCTTTCTTTTGACCAGCGCCTCTTGCTCTTCTTTCTTGGCTTTCGTCTGCTCGTACTGAAAAAGAAAGCAATAGTAAAGCTTACAAAAGTGGCTTCTTCCTAAACCCAAAAGCATGCCTGTTAGAAAGCATGCTAAAAAAATAAAATATGATACCTGCTGCTTGCTGCGTTCGACACCATCAGTGAGACCCTGCAGCTCGACACGATATCGCCCGGTCTTCCCATCCAGTTCGGTGACTTTTTGTTCAGCGACTCCGAGTTCTTCTTCTAGCGTCGTCTTTTCTTTTCGATCCTTGGCAGTGCGCTCCAAGTAGTCGTCCTGATTCTCCTCCAATCGCCTTTGACAATCGGCCTCGTCCTTCTCTGCCTCCTCGATGATCTCCCGCTGGCGTTGGACCTTATCGCGAGCAGTTTCCGGTGCAGATTCCAGCTCGGCGTATTTCTTTTTGAGAGTGGCGAGTTCTGCTTGAGCCTTTTTGACCTCGGCCTTCTTGTTCTTGATGTCATTCAGACGCTTGCCGGCACGCTGACGTTGCTGCTGAAGCTCATCGGTGACGCGATCGCACTTTGTTTGCAGCTTCTTGTTTTCCCTACAAAAAAATTAGTAATCCAGTTTTAGTCTTTTATCAACGGGAAAGTTCACCTACTTTGTAAGCTGGGCCGTCTTGCTGTTCTTCTCCTGCATCAGCTCGTTGAGGGCCTTCAGCTCTTCCTTTGCGATATCCTCGCTCTTCTGAGCTTCGACTAGGTCGGTTTCGCCTTCAGCTTCGTGATTTTGTTCTTCAATTTTAGGCGCGTCATCTGCTCCAGCTGGTTCTTGTGATAGGAGATCCGGTTCTCGAGTTTCATGATTTCCATCATCTCATTGTCAGCCCCTCCAAAAGGTCTTTTTCCTTTGTCGCGTTGCTGAGCCTGAAATGAGAAAATAAATGTCAGCTTCGTAATGCAAAACATGAATACATAGTAAAAAGCTTACATCCGTGATTGGTTCGTCAGCTGTTCGTCGACAGCCGCGATCTTGGTTTCGAGAAGCTGTAGCGGCTCCTTGTAACGCGATGTTCTAAAATGTGTTATTTCAAGAAAAATTGTCGCCTACCCGATGATATCCTCAAGATACTCGAGCATGCCCTCAGTCTTCTTCTTGTCGTCACCTTTCGGGGGCATCATCGCAATCTGTTCGACTTCACCTTGAAGGATCAGAAACCGGTTGTGCTTCAGGTCAATGCCGACCGACTTCAACTTCTCGGCTACCACCGACAGCTTCACGTTCTAAAACGGAATATCAATAACCACTAATAGGTTGGAATTTTCAAAAAGCTCACGGTCTAAATTCTCACCTTCATCGTGCGCCCGTTCTCCGTGATCTCGTACTCGCTCTTGTTGCTTTTGTATGCTGTGCGGCAATGGAGAAGCGCGAGTCCGGGACCTCGTCGAATCCATTTCCCTAAAAACTTCAGTCAGATAACTTTGAAAATGACCTTACCTTATCAATAACCTTGGTGAAGAAAATTTCGACGCTGCAAAACGTCAAATTGTCGTGACCGGCCGAGTTGTGGATGAGCCACGCCGACGTTTTTGTGCGGATCTAAATTAGCCAGGCAAATTATTGGCCCAGAAAACGCGACATACCCTGCTGGCTTTGAATCCGAAAACAAAGAGGAGTGCGTCGATGACGTTACTCCTTTGCCGGAGCCGTTTGGGCCGATGATGGAGGTGTAATTCTGAAAATCAAGGAATCCAAATTTTTTCGCTAAAACCAAATGCTCACCGTATGGAAAGGTCCGATGGTCGTCTTGTCACGGTACGACTTGAAATTCCTCTGACATCGATTCGCTGAATGACGAGACGGCCCTTCTTCGCATCAGCATTGCAGTCAGGGTCGAAAGCTGGCGGGATCTGGATTTTCATCAGCTCCTCGTCGTCCAGAGCCGCGTAATCCCAAGAAGAAGTTGAAGGAGTGAATTTTAAAGCTAACAATGCGCCCCCTTCATCGTCGTCATCGAATTCATTTCCTCGTTCGGGCCCATCCATCAAATGGTCGGCCGTGAACACGGAGCCGACATCCTAAAGCATAAAAATGTTCGTAAATCGTAAAGTTAACGAACAACTGCTTCCTTGGCGTGGCCGTATCCGGGCCTTTTCTGGGCGGCCTTGATCGGCGTGGTGCGGTTGGCACGCGTTCGATGGTTGCGGCTCATCTTCGTCGTCGCTGTCGACGAATCCCCTGCGCTTTGGCGGCATCTAAAACTGGCGTATGAAAAAGCCGGGGAGGAGTCGTTATTATGAATGTGAAAACAGGTTACGCGAATACAAACTGGTCGGAAAGATATTGAAATTGTAAAATCGATTTTTCAAAGGACCACCGCATTCAGCAACACGCCCTGCAAACTCAAAATTTTGCCTTCCCCAGGCCCTTCCCCCTTTGGAGGTTTAGAGAAAGAGAGCTGGGTACTATCCTAGGGGCGCATGGGACGGGAGGAGAACGGGGGTCTCGAGGTCGCTTTGGCGGGAAGGAGTTGTTGAGCATTCGCATCAAAGAATCGGGGAAAACCGCGAAATCACGCCAAAGAGCATCCCGGGGAGAAAGACCCCGAAAAACGAGTGTAGACGTTTGAAAAAAAAAAGCCACAAATCCCCTAATCTCGGTACACTTGGGCCGAAAAACTACTGGAAATACAATTAAAATATGGAATTTACAAGCTTTCGAATAAAATGGAAGCTCACGTCTAATTCCATAATTCCCGATCTAAAAAAGAAATTCTGAAGCCCGGCCAACATTTCGTAATTCTCGAGCTTCTATTTGGTTGGACATCTGGCATATGGAGTTGACAGGTATGGATTTCATGAGTCATTCCTGAAATTTCCATAATTCAGAAATCTTGCTGTCCATACTGCTCGGGCAGTTTGCTTCGTTCTCCGGCGCGCCATTCCTTATCGGCCAGTGCTGCAAGGTGAAAAAAAAGTTCTTGGGTAGAAAGCAATTTTGTTTCCAGAAAAAAAAGGAGGAAGAAGAGGATGACGATGACGAGGAGGAAGAGGAAGAGAGCAGTCCCGGCACGGCGGAGAGCGCCGTCAAGCCAAAGAAAGACCCGAAGAAGAAGAAGGCTGGTGGTGCTGGCAAGAAGGGCGGTGCCTCAAAGATGGGAGCTGCTCCGGCGGCCCCAGCCGCAGCTGCACCCGCGGCTGGAGGAGCGAAGCCAGCAGCCCCGGCCGCCGCGGCCCCAGCTGGCAAAGGAGATCCACTGAAGAAGCCGACGCAAAGAAGGAATTGCTGGTGGGTGGCACGTTCGCCGGAAAAAGCCTGGGCTCTTAGCGGGAAATTAACTTTCCAAGGGAAAAAGGGGCCGAATTCCGGTTATTTTCGCTGCGCGATTATTTGGGGAAATTTACCCATCCACCGTCAGTCCAACGCGAAGGCCTGATTGTCTGCAGGTACCCACGACCCCAACTATCAAACCTTGGCTGGTGTTGGTGGCGAGTGCTTTGGAGCCGACAAGAAGAAGGACGGAGGTGGCGGCGGAGGAGGAGGAGGCGGCGGCGGTGGCGCAGGACCCAAAAGCCCCGGCTGCAGTGAGGAATCGCCGGTTAATCTCCTCGTCTAGCCTTAATAGTCCTTAAGGTACTCACGATCCGAACTACCAAACCCTGGCCGGAGTCGGCGGGGATTGCTTCGGTGCCGACAAGAAGGGCGGCGGCGGGGAGGAGGCGGCGGAGGAGGTGGTGCCGGACTGGAAGGCCCCGGCCGCTGGGGGAGTCGCTGGTGAAGATGGTAGAGGCAGTCGATCTACTGTTTCAGGCACTCACGACCCCAATTACCAAACATTGGCTGGAGTTGGCGGCGACTGCTTTGGCGCCGACAAGAAGGGAGGCGGCGGAGGCGGTGCGCGGTGGCGGCGGCCCGAAGGCGCCTGGCGCTGGCGGAATCGCTGGTTTGCGCTGATTTGCCGAGCTTTCACCACGCGCATCAGGTACGCACGACCCGAACTACCAGACATTGGCCGGTGTCGGGGGCGACTGCTTTGGTGCAGACAAGAAGGGCGCTGGGGGCGGCGGCGGCGGAGGAGGTGGCCCGAAAGCCCCCGGAGCTGGCGGCGTGGCTGGTTGGCAACCAGCTACCCTCAAAAAAAATAATCAAAAATATATTTAGGTACGCCGATCCGAACTACCAAACCCTCGCTGGTGTTGGTGGCGATTGCTTCGGTGCTGACAAAAAAGGCCGCCGAGAGGAGGCGGTGGTGGCGATTCAGGCCCGAAGCCAGGAGCCGCCGGAGTGGCCTGGTTTGTAACCATTCCATCTTCAACCCTACACTTCTAGCCACCGACGATCCGAACTACCAAACGCTCGCTGGTGTCGGCGGCGACTGTTTCGGCGCTGACAAGAAGGGAGCTGGCGGTGGAGGCGGCGGCGGTGGTGGAGGCCCAAGGCACCGGCTAACCAGGGCGCCAAAGCTGGTGAGTGATTCGGGAAGCCCGTACTCGGAGCACGTAGCGCGACTTCGAAAATTTGTCGTTTGCAGCTACGGCCGACCCTAACTACCAGACGCTGGCTGGCGTCGGCGGCGATTGCTTCGGAGCCGATAAAGGCTGGTGGAGGCGGCGGTGGAAAGCCAGTCGCTCCTGCCAATAAGGGCGCCAAAGCTGGTGGGACTTTTGAACATCTGTTTGTCGTCAGATAAGACGGTGTCAAAAACAGAGTTGACAATCTCCATGGCTTTCAGCGACGGCCGACCCCAACTATCAGACGCTGGCTGGCGTGGGCGGCGACTGCTTCGGAGCTGACAAGAAGAAGTGACAAACTACTAGACTCACTTGACCAGACTCGTGCGCCTGAATAAAGTTACCCCAACAGTTGTTCCAACGGTCTGCGCTTGCTAACGCTGTAAGATGTGACCAAACATTGCTGAATTAAAAGCTTTATCGAATGTTTCTCAAAATGCAAAAGCTCAAAGAAGATACGCATGTGGTGCCAAGTACACAGATGAATTGGGGGACTTTGTTGATGTCCAATCAGTCGTCCGGCTGGCTTTCATCGAGCGCCTCGGTGCCCCAGAGCGTCAGGTTGTCTCGCAGCAACTGCATGATGAGGGTAGAATCCTTGTACGAATCTTCGTTCAACGAGTCCAGCCCCTTGACAGCTTCATCAAACGCCTGGAAAGAAAAAAATAATCGTATAACCTTGAAAACCGATCCCTCACCTCCCTAGCTATTGTGCAAGCCTTCCGCTCGGTTGCCAGCCAGCTCATAGTAGAAGACCGAGTAAAGTTGAGGGCTAAGCCGAGACGAATTCGGGCGCGTCGGAACCAGGTTCTCCTGGGCAATGACGGAGGCCTCGTTGTAAGCCTCTGTTCGGCCTCGACTAGCGCTAAAGAAGCGCGGTAGGAAAGGCATAACTAACAATACCTTTGAGATCGTCTCCAAGAAGGCGATCTCTCCCAAGTAGCGGGAAATAGTCGCCTCGCATCTTGATGGTGAACACCTCGAATCGACGGACTGTGCCTTCGATGAGGTAGTTTTCAAGGAGAGACTATAAAAAAATCAAAAGACATAAATAGCTTACGATTGTTCATTGCAGGAGTCGCGCGCTCTTTGTTCCACCTGAGTGCGGTATTCGTCAGTGAGCCGGTGGTTGCTGACGAGGTCTTGTTGGTTTTCCTTGATGGTGACGAGCGTGCGCCGGGCAGAGCGTCGAGTCCCGACCAAGTTCTTGTAGGCGACCGAGAAGAGGTTTCGACTTTCCAGCTCCAGCTCCCTGGCCGAGCTCGGACGACCTCCTTCATGACCCTGGCCATGTCCTGGTAGCGCTCGGCCTAAAAGAATGAATATCACGAAAAGCAAACAAATGAAAAGAGTGAAAAGCAACGGCACCTGTTCCGCGAGCTTAGCCCTCTCGATGAACCCCGACTCTGATCGGCCAGATTCAGTATCTGAAAATGAACATGAACAACGTGGGAACTTGGAAAGGAAAGAACGTTTGAAAAATGTACGGCTCGGCGAGCGCAGAGAAAAAGGTGCAACTGAGTAAAAACCACTGGCACCCGGATCTGACCACTGGGGTCCCGGAACGAAAATACGGTAGGATCCGTAATTTGTCCTCACGCGTTCATTTTCGGGTCCGATTGACCTTTCTTTCCTTCTTCTAAAGTTCAAAACCATTTTTGTGGAAAAAATCGAAATTGTTTTTTTTAATTCTTTTGATACTTTGTCTAAGCTACTACAGTATTTTATATAATTTTAATCTTATTTTTTTTTTGCACGAAAGGAACTATTCGTAATTGTTTTCGACGCCTCCTCCCGCGAAACATATCGCCCCCTTCGTTCCACCCAGTCATTCTCTGCTCTTCAAGCGGTTTCTGCTATGGACTCTCACAAATTCCCACCCCTTTCAGCTCAACTAACTACTCGTCGCACTAACTATTGGTAAATGATTGCTGGGAATCTCACGCCTTCGGTAAGGGTTCTGTGTGTTTTGGAATGAAGTGTTTAGCACACCCGTCACGATTTTCGACGTCTTTTGCGTGATTCGAGCGAAAGGCGAAGAGCCAACGTTGCTACAAAAAGTATCCCGGGAGGTGTGCGGGGAAGCGATTGGTTAAATTTTTCCTTTAGGATTTTAACAATGCCGCAGGGATCAAGTCGGTCCTGCAGTTTGCTGACCCATAAGTCCGGGAACAAGTCCGTTTTTTCAGCCGTTCACTAATCAAATTTTTATAGCGGAGGCCCGGCCGAGTCGTTTTGCTTTACTTTGACGGATCCGCGGTCTCAATACACATTTGGGTACTGCCGTACGCGCCCCGAAGCGACCGCACGATCATTTTGTTAGGTAATTTTAGGTGGCTGATTTCTTGCCACGCGATTTTGCTGCTTTCTTTCCCAAAATCTAGCTCTATTGTCAAGCTCACCCAAGCTATTTTTAATCTTGTGAGCAGGCTTGAAAGTCATCACCCAACGTTAACCACTGAACTCGAATAGTACCATTTCTTGGCAGCAAGCAGAAAGGGAATTCCCCCTTTTAGTGCGCTACCCTGGGATGGTTTCTTCGAAAGTGTGCTCGCCCACCTCTCGCAGTCAATGGAGCGA